AACACAGTAAAATTGATAGCTTTGTCACTTCTTCTACTTCGGAGCATTTTTTATTTTAAATATCCCATATATATACACTGTGGCGGTATAGATATCACAAAAAATGAAATAACAGATAACACGGTTCAATATACGTCGGTTAAAATAAAAAAATAAAAAATTAGTACGAAAATACAGAAATGCAAATTTAGAACAAACTAAATACAATAAAATAATTTCCGAATTAGAACACCATTGATAACATGAGTCGGTGAACTGTACCTACACGGCAGCGTCGCAATGTCGGCGACATCAAAACGACGCCGCCGCCGCCGCCGCGAGCCGGCGAACTTTACATTCTTATTACCTACCTACCAATCACTTCACTTGCTTTTAAAAATCTATTTATAAAGAATGCGATTTTATTCACGTGTTTATTTCGTGAATGCTCGACTAGCTTCCGACCCAGCAGTACGCGTCACTCCTTGAAAAAGTAGTTACCTTGGTTGTCTCGTAATCTTTGTACCGCCCTTACAAAAATTCGGCAGTCTGTAGGACATACACGATTGACTCCATACGTGTCCGTAAAGCAAAAGATGCGTTTTGATAGAGTTTTCCATAAATTAACATCATAGCAGGCAGGCATATTCCGCGGCTGTGAAGGTCACTCACGGCATTATGGATGTTGATATCGATAACCCAATAAAATTAAAAGACTGATAATGCACTCAGTTTCACACTACACTACACACAGAACCTAATAGTGACTTTTCAAAATAAAATTAGCAGGACTCCTTACATTACGAAGTCTTGCGCACACGATAACATTAATTGTTCACACCATTGCCGTGTATTATGACGAAAGCAATAAGACTAAACAATTATTACCACAAGAAAACTTCTCTAAACAAATATGTATCTCATAAACAACAACAATATTATTATTACGGTTATTTGTCGTGAGCGCATCTACAAGGATACGGAATAGCATAAGCTCGCCGGTGGCCAAGGGCCGACTGACTGTCCTTACTGGATGAACTAATTAAAAACGCGTGTTGCATCGTGATGACGTAATAATCAACATATTTCGTTCGATTCGGGTGTAGTAAAAGCGGCAACGTGTGATTACCGCGTATACCTACAGCTGATCGCCGCCTGAGGTCAATGTATTATGAATGCATGTACACATGATGTTGCAATTTACGAAACACAAAAATGAGTCCTGTGGCTAAACTACTGGATATATTTTGTTCATATTTTGCAAATCGCCTAGAAATTAAGGGCAGAATATGTGGCTTAAGTATTTGGGATAGGAAATGAAACTCTCTGTATATCCATGTAAGTATTCATCTAACTTGTAAGTTAAATTGAAGCAAATCACATGTGATTCTCTGCAAATATAATTCAGATGCGGGGTACGTTTTGGTTTCAGAGAACGCGCCCTGAATAAGCTTTTTCATTTGAGCTTTTGCTTACTTAAATAGCTTGAGTTGAATAGACTGAGGAGTGAATATTTAAAATAACGTGTGCTGTGGTGCACTACTTTCTAATCCTAGTAAATAAAAATACTTACCTAATTGTTAAGTAGGTTAAAAATTTATGAATTATTTATATTAAAATAAATATATACAAACGTTCAAGTCAAATTATATTGACCAGAGAATAGTACAATGTCCTATCAGTTTGTAGTACAGTCCATGTTTATTCAATTTAGTTTGAGTTCGAGTTCTTACTACAAAAAACGCATTCAAATCTTTCCAATATACGGACAATAGAAAAAAAACTGAAAAACTAAAACGAAGATGGCTAATATTTTAGGATTTTAATGCCTTTTATATTTTATTTATTTATTTAAGTAGAAATATTGTAAATAATCAATGAAATATATGTAACGGTTGACTACATACATGCACATGCACATATACAACACAACACATCATAAATACACAAATATACAATTATACACACACATATATATTCAATTATGTTTACATAGATACACAGACATTAAATATTCGCACACTATGAATACCGGAAAATAAGGTATAATTTTATATATAAATAAAGCTTAAAGGCCTTCTGTACTACATCAACGTCAAGGACTGAAATTAGATCTTATCCACCATTCTATTAGTGTATTTATTTCATACTCTTCTATCATGATTTCTTCATCATGCTATCAATATAAAAGGCACAAAACTGCTGTCGCCAGAAGTTACTCCTGATAAAAATACGATAACAGCTACCTGTTACAGTTTTATTAGTCCGAAATCTCTTTCTCTCTCCCACCACAACGAGATAGATATTTATAGGCTTTGGCGAACAGTTCAGCAAATAAGTCTCTTCATAACTAATGCTTATTCTTAAGTTAGAAATGTGTAATTATCTAAGTACTGATTAATCATAAAAAATGGCGTAAACATCATTTTGTTTCCAGTAAACAATATTTCGAACAGTTAAACTTGTAGTCGAACTTTTGCCATTGTCCCGATACAAGTAACTTTTTAATTTTGTTCTCTGTAAGTATCTTATGGACTTATATTGGAGCCTTTTCATGAACATTACAAACTGACTATATCTTTTTCTATTATCGGCTGTAGTCTTGTAAAAAGTTTTATTAATCTTCTATCTTTAATGTCGTGGAATTAAAGACAGGAAAGGCTTAGGCAATTCAATTGCTGTAAACAAAATGAATTGTAAATGTAACGGAAGAGGGGAGTTTAATATTTTTTAATTTTTCGGTAATTAAGGATAACAAATGACATATTAATGACCTATTTGGTCTCGGCATAATAAAAATAAAAAGCAGAACCAATTTATAGATTAATAATCTTTAGGTCGGGTTAATCCAATTTACGATAGAACAAAGAAAATTAAGAAGTAGACGATATTTCATCGATTTTCTGGTACACTGAGTTCGTGTTTCCGTTTTAAATTCAATATCTTTTCTTTAAAAATTTAAACGAAATTCCTTATAAAGCAGGTATTTAGGTTTTGTTAACTTGTGACGTGTCTACGTAACTACAAATTAATATAACAGAAAAAGGTGCAATAATAAATTAATCCAAATATTTACTCCAAGTCCAGTAAAGTTGTAGTAAACCCCACGCCCTCATTCTCAATCTGAAATACAATAAAAGATGAGGTGATGGTTTACCAGAGTTATCTGCAACAATTAGTATATATGTAAGTCAACCAATCGTTTGCTTTCTAATACTTACTCGTACTATCTGGACAATTTTTTTTTAAGTGTTGACAATAGAACCTGAAGATATTGTAATTAATTGAATATTTCATTTAAAAATAAACTTTACTAATTCATTTGTGACTCAATTAATTTAATATTTTTAAGTAAATTAAAATACTAACTGTACCTACTACTTAACAAAAATATTTTCGGACATCTAAGACACAACGCAATGGAGTTTTTAAAAGCAGAGCTTGTGCTATGAAAGCTAGATTGACTGATAAAATACTTTTAGACTTTTTTTTCGTAAATAAGGAGTGAGGACGTTAACTCCCGTAAATATATATATATATATAAATGTAAATGTTGACTATTCTTAATCTACTCTTAAGCTAGTTTAAACCAAGGATCCTTATCTCAAGGATTCTTTACCTGTAGAATAGAGGGTAGTGGACTGTATCATAAATAAATAACAAAGACCGCTTCATTAAAATAAATATCACAAAAAATCTCTCAAAACAATATAAGTATTCTAGGTTTTTATAACCATTACGAATTTAAATCAAATAAACATTAAAATATATTTTCCAACTGAGTAGTCTTAAAAATAGTGACGTCATAAGTTGCTATTTAGTATATTTTTTATACAAAATGGTTTGACAGATGCTTTTTAAAGTTTAACTAATTTGACTAAGATGCCAACTATCCTATTTAGGAAATTCTTACAGGAAATAAAGGCTAACAGATATAATGGTATAATATTAAAGGTACAATACAGTAACTTAGCTCTTAAATTGAATCTTGCGTCTATTTCCATAGGTTAACAAGGGTAGTGACAATCCATTCGCGCACGACAGATACATAAACTATGAATGGATATAAACACAATTTGGCGTGATTTGAGGGGGAACGCAAAAGGAAATGGAAAAGAAAATGCGATAACCTATACGTGTTTTTTATATCTAAATAAACGTCACATTAAAGCTCTATTTCACAGTTTTTTTTTACTTTTATTTTACAATAAGTTTTTACGGAATAATTTGATTAACGCACATTCGGGTGCATTCTATTAAGGATTTTTGGACGTTACAAGTTAAAGTCTATAAAATTGAAAAATAGAATTAAGTGTTTCTTAATTGATCAATGTACTTTATATTTTTCTGGGGTATGTCCACTAGTTGACATCTTTCGGCTAAGAGGTATCATCAGATGATAGTGATGATGACTATTTTGTAAACAGGTTGACCTCGTCTCACGGTAGAGTGTGTAGAGTAGAGTGGAATCATGGAGTAAATATAAAGATTGCTTTGTATTTGCTCTGTGAGTGGAATCTATTACAATGGCTTTCACTCTTTGATGCAATTTGAGTTACTAATTAATTAGGTTGGGTTGCAACAGACTTTAGACTTTTTGATTCAAGATTGTTACAATTGGAATACATGGAAGAAGGACTTTTTATTTTCAAGATCATTTATTTTCTAAGAGTACCCATAACATCGTTTCACGATTTTCTATATTTATTATTCTGTCAAAACCTTCAACGTTCCAAAGAAGGTTTTGATAAATAATTTATGCCGTTTTGTCCTATATTTTGAAAACATTCCCTAAACCGCTATTTGAGCCCGAAGTAAGCATCATAATTAAAAGCAACATGATCATGATAAACCCTGTTCCCCATTCTTACACATTAAATAAAGAACCAGTGATTACTTGAGTAATATAAGCTATATGATAGTAGTAACTTGTAACTAATATAACTTCTCTTTTATTGTTTCAGAGAAAATAATGTCATTATGGTTCAGTGATCGTGTTAGTGCCAAAGTGTAGTGCCAACATGGGTTGCACCCCGAGCATGCTACTTGACCACAAAAGCCGTCGCCGGGACAGCACCGGCTCCCAAGAAGCTGCCTTGGGCAAGGTTGCACCGACTCCAGTCTGCAACAAAGCTATTCCAGCAGCCAAAGCTCCGAGGGCTTCTGTGGAATCTGATGGGTTCAGTATCCAGCTCTCTAGTAAGAAAGATAGCTATGTCTCGCAGATGGGGAACAACTTTGCAACGCAGCTTCATATAAAAAGGATATCTGGTGAGTTTTATATTGACTTTCATATGCAATGCAATATGCATGCAATATTTTCGCTCTTCTAACAATCTTCTCCTTTTTTGTCCTTCACATATTTCCAGTATGGTCCATTCTTCCTTCCCTGTTTAAGTTACCCTTTGGAACACACTCCCACTAGAAATCAGGATGTCCACTTTTAAGTTTAAAGTACGGAAGCTCTGTAGAGACTTGTTGACGGAGTCATCAGAATAACACTTTTTGAGTATCTTTATTACGTATGTATTATATATTTGTATAATATTTTGATATTTATATGTATAAACTATATGTATACCTAGTACCTATATATCTGTAGGATTTGTTTCACCTTTTGCAACATTCTTTAGTTGAGTCTCATTCTTACCTGTCTCAAACATACACCTGCCACACACAGCTTTGCAACACCCAAAGGTTTGACTGGAAGAAAATGACTGTGGCATAAGTTCGCCTTATGTAATATGTTTGCAGGAAGTCTCAATAAATAAATAAGTAAAGACGGCATTTCTGTGCGATACTTATTTTGGTATGTTATAATGTTCAACTTACACTATAAATTTTACTGTTTCGTACTCCTGTACACTACATGGCTATAATAATATATTTTGAATAGTAGTAATATTTTTTTTATTACGTGTTCAAATAGACGTCTATTTTATCACCCATCTGATATAAAGTGACGATAATAATATATAATATATTTTACTACATTCACACAACGCCACCTAATCCCAAACTAAGCAGAGCTTGTACTATGGGTACTAGGCAACTGATATAAATACATTTTACTTTTTTTTGTAAATACATACATATTATACATAGAAACACCCAGACCAAATCAACCATTAAATGTTCATCTACACAAATGTTTGACTTGAGCGGGAGTCGAACTTACGACCTTTGGAATAGCAGTCCGTTACACAAACCACTATGCCATCCTGTCGTCAAAACGAAGAAGAAAACGAAACGATGAAGACGATGTATTTGATTCTGAAGTAGCATTGCCAGTTTTGGTTGTATTTTGAGCTGTTTTAAAGTAACGAGGCTTTGTCTTCACCATTAATTTTTTTTTACGAATTACCTAATAAATAATAAATTACTACACACACACACACATAGAATTGATTAATATTAATCGTGTAATTGGTTTTGGTTAAATTCATACAGACGTTTCGCTAAAATTTATAATGTTTTTCCATTGTGCCTGCAATACTTATTTTTTAATTTATTTAACTCAATTTGATGTAAATGAATAACAATTTTAACGAAACTTTCACTAAAATAGAAGATAATTAGGTAGAACTTAGATTTTGAAAAATTTTTAATAGACACATATTAATCTTTTCTTGGAATTCTGTACCTATCAGACGCCCATAGATTAAACTTAACTTTTGATTCTTCATGTATTTTCTAATTTATGTAATACTAGCTTTCCATTGATAAAATTTTAAAATCGGTTTAGTGGTTTATAAGTAGAAGCGTAACAAACAAATTAACCCTCCTTCACATTTATAAGAATAAAAGATCTGCAGGTCTTAGGAGTTTAAATTCCAGTAATAACATCCGGTGATTTAGTAACAGAGTCATAAGTAGTTGGTTCGATTCTAGTGTAGGTATATTAAAATCAAACCTAAAACACTTTTAATTAGGCTGCTTTTATTTGGTTTGGTATGTTGTATACTGATTCAAGTCCGTTGATGACCTTGTCACACTGATCTCACCAATCACAGGACGAACGCATGAACCTCACCCTATCCGTTTTACATATATTTTCATTCACCTTCAGTCTTTGTCCCGCTGAAAAATGATTATACCTTCAAAGAACCGCCAGCTATAAAATAAACTAGCCAAAACTATTTAGGAAGATCATCATTATCATCATCAACAGCCTTTAATAGTCCACTGCTGGACATAGGCCTCTGCTGAGAAAGGAGGTTTTGCCCTACTATACCACGCTAGCCAGAGCGGTTTTATAAAGGGTTTGTTTTAAGTTTTCCTTCGCTTTGCAGTGCTGTCGTCCTGCGTAGTTTGCTCCCTTAGTCGACTTTTACGACACCCACGGGATGAACAGGGGTGGTGATATTCCGTACGGATATTTGCAATGATACATTATTTTTAGTCACAATTGAAATAATATATTACAGATTGCTATTTTTTAAATATTGCGGGATCTTACGTCCTTCAGTATATTTCAATCGTTCCTGGGTAAATGTACGTATACTTCAATAATTTCGATATTTTAACATAAATAGAAATAGAATGTTTCATATGCTGTATACGTATTCTAAGTGTAAGTGTCAGCTACATTAATTGCGCTAATCGCATGCCAGATTTATTAATTTGATTGGCAACTGTAGTACTTATATTTAGGATTAGCAGTATGAAAACTAATAAAAACTAGTGACTTCAAGTAATGTCACTAAATAAATAATTATATTGTTCTATGTCATATCGCGTCATGGCGTCGCTTTTATTATGATCGAAAAAAATTTTGAAAATAAAATCTCTACAGTAGTAGGTATATGGATTTGTCTTTGTGAAATGAGATTTTCGATGTAGTTCGCTCTTAAATTATTATAAATGAAACAAGAGAATCTCTTATCTTTTTTCCCACTTGAAAACTTTCGTAATATGAACCATAAAATCTTTTAATTTTCTATTTTATTATTATATTTGTTCATTAAAAAAGTATTTTATTTTACTCTTAATGAATAAAATTGTTAAGCACAACATTTTTTTTTGGCCCTGAGGCGGTGTCGGAACGCTCATGTTTTTTTTTAATTGTTGGATTAGGAAACTTAATAGCATTAAATGATTTCGTTTCATTGATTACTGATATAAACTTAACACAAATTAGAAGTAAACAATATTTTTAAAGAAAGAAAAGTGTTGTACATAGATTAGTCATACGAGTAATTACCCAACGCCTCATGTATCTAATGAGCCATTGGGTAATTATAACCAGCCCCATAAACATGCCCTAGTAAACCATACTGTGTAGATTTGGACCATCAAAACTGTGGGGACACCATGCTTCTGCACGAATAAGCCTGCTAGGCAGAAGTGATAGCAAGGCCTTGCAGAAAACCGGTGTTAATAAATCCATAGGCAGCGGTAGTCACTTACTATCAGATGAACCGAACCGTTTGTTTCCCTATGCCATAAAAAAATAGGGCTTAAAAAAAACACGCTTTTGTAGCCAGCTGAACTAAAAAGCATTTTATCGAAAAAAAGCGTGGGGTGTTAGATCTCAATTGTTGTAAAAATATTTTACTGACAAAATTGGTATAAGTAAAGTTATTATATTATGAGATACCTTGAAAAGCACAATACGCTTATTTACTATAGTATGATTTTTCTGAATTTCGGCAATATTTATACATTTATTGTTACATAATATATTATATGCATTTGAAATACTGTAACATTGAATTCCAAGAAACAACTGCGACTTGTATTGTTATTATATAAAACAGTTTCTTTCTCGTATTGCGGTTAGCCTTACAAAATAGTTCAGTACCTCCGTACTTTGGATAGTTCAATTCTAGAAACTAGAAACTTTTAAACAACAACACGATTTCGACGCAGTAGATCTGTTTGCTATCGTTCACTCGATAGTCCTAAATTGATAAAAGTATCACAAAAAAGTGTCTGTCTTTGTACTCTTGTCTCAAACCTGGCCCCTATGTCATAAATCATAAGGCCGTTACTACATAAAGACATTTACTTTTTATTGAACTAAATTAATGAACTCAAAAATGTATTCATAAATAAATAGATCTGTTAGTAATACAGAGACATAATGAAAAATATGATAAAATGAAATCGAGCAAGTGTAGATTATTATTATTAATTATAATATTGTAATTAATGTATATTTACATTTAAAACCTTACTGAACATTTTCACAGCCTGCAACCGCATGTGCCGTCTAATTTTAACTTAGGCTGTGCAATAGTATTTAGTCAGATAAAAAATATATAACTTCCTTTTCTTTCGGCATTTTTTTCACATTTAGCTAAATTTGGATGTCAAAAGGACTACCATATACCTTCATATTGTAAAAATTTAATCTTGGCTACTTGGTGTTTAACTCTTTATAATTTATATGTAACAGTCTGCTCTATACGAGTATATTGTTTTCATCGCCCTCTTTGCACAACAAAAGTATTTTTTAAGGCATCTTTCAATTCTGCAGTGTGTGCAAGTGTTAATTATATTGCAGTATTTAAGGTAATGCCCAAATGTAAATATTTTTCTTTATTATAAAATAAACATTATCATGTCGGGACGTGTAAAACTTCCTGGATATAACACCTTGTATCGGTACGACCGGTGTATTGACGTCGTAAATATCCGTAAATTTGTAAACAGATCTTTGAATAGACTAAGCTTTATTCTTGAACATAATAAATAGGTTCACGTTTTTTTACCCGATGCTTGTTTTACACATTTACCTGGTGTTGATAGATATTGTACATTATTTCATATGTTTAACAATATGTTAAACTCGATGATGTTACCAACAAAATTAGTTATATGTGAGATTTATGGATTATATGGATATGAATGTGAAAATTCTTATAAAATTCTTTCAGAAAAACACTCTCTAAGTTTAAACTTTGTATATTTTTAAACATATTATTTATATTATAAAAAGATTACAATGAGTAATGGAAATCAGTACTAGTATATTGTAACTAATATTTCGTAAAATTAGAGACTTTTTCGCACTGTGGCGATCTTTTACAGGCAACTATGGGATGAAGGAAATATTATTTAAGAAATCGTCTGCTTTAACAAAGAAGAAACATTATTTATTCATTTTAGAAACATCTGCTTTAGTTCTGACCGATATATGCTAGGAAGTTCAGACCGAAGGTTTTAAGTTCGAAGTGAAGGTGTTCGGAGATCGACGAATGCCCTCCGGCGCCCGGTGCGCCTTCTGCGGACAGAGAAAGTGGTGGACAAAACCGTAGTCGGAAGCGAGACGTTACCCGCAGAACTGACTGCCGCGACACGACGCTGGCTAGCCCAAGATGGGTATTCTGCCATCGTGTGAAGCGCCGAACGTTTAGGGCAGTTATCACAATGATGACATCGTGACGTTGGCTCCCGGCCGATCCAACACAGGTACTTCCCAACAACCGTGTCCAGAAAACACCTGTGTGATCCGGAAATCGAAATTTATCTTGCCATATCTACTTCAAAGCCAAAGAACTTATAAATTCCTACAAGATCATTTGGACAATGAAAAACGGAGGTCTCTGCGGAGGTCATACAAAATAATGTAATACAGTGTAAGTAGAAATAGCTGCTTTTCAAAACTGTTTGTTGAATCTTACAATAAAATTTTTATGGCTTTGTTTGTGTTGGTAACAAATTGATTTCTCTTACTAGACACAGCTACGCAGATTATGTATAACTTTGTTAATTTTCAATACTTTTCATTTTGATTTATATTTGTACTCGTATAATATTTTCATTATTATTATGATGTGATTTGAAATACTAGCTTTTGCCCGCGACTCCGCCCGCGTATATGTTACTTATCGCGGTAAAAAGTCGTCAAAATATAACAAGTCAAATAAAATATAATATTTAAAATACATACATATATACATACGAGTACATATAAAAATAAACAGTTGAAATTCGATCAACAGCGGATAACCGATCTCCAGTAAATATTGAATGTAATATTTTTGAACAAATATGCTATAATTACCAATTAATTATAATGGGGCCGGTTGTTGTGGCGAAGCTTGGGGTAGGGGGGTCGTGCCTCCCCCCAACTGTATCCTTACGTTGTCGTCGTGGGGGGCTTGCGCGGATCAGGATATGCCAGTATAGTCACTCATGCCGGATTGGCTTACAGGGAGACTCCAGACTAAAAAGGATACTCATTGGGACCCATCTTGGGTCACCGATAGTTGCTCCAATGTCCAAAGTTGAGGAACGATGACGGGCTCGGTGAGCACTTACACTGCCACCGAGCAGGCAATGGGGACAGTGTCTCCTTGCCGCCGTTTGCATATCGTAATCCCGGTAGGAGTGTCGTGGTTATGTCTCGCGACTCTAATCGGGGGCGAGGGTCTTGGCTTAGCCGCTCGGATTGCGAGGATGATAACATCTTTAAAAAATTACTCCGAATCCCGTGTTCTGGTGCATGGCCAGGGAAGCAGACCCGGACCCGGGTACTGGAGATATCTACCCGGGATGCTTTATAGGTAGGCTGATCACCCCCACGCCCAGTCTCGGCGACGTCCCCGATGGCTTCATGCGCTAAATCATTGACGCAGTAGAGCGTATGACAGATGGGGGCCTCCTTTGTTAGGCCGCCACTGGCAGCGGATAGGCTGAAGACCGCGGCAGCGCCGACTCCACTGCCCGTTGCTGGTAGTCGTGTCTCCTACGTTGGTAACTGCCCCTGCAGCACATAGGCCTCTCCTTAGAAAGGAGGTTTTGACCTACTACTCGTATACTACCCTGGCCAGACTTGTTTGCTGTTCTGTTGTTCTGCATAGTTTGCTCCCTTAGTCGGCTGTTATAACCCCCACGGGATGATAAGGGTGACAATGTCATACTTTCACCCCTAACATTTAACACACTATTTCGTTACATTTAATACCAAGTACTTACTACGTACAAAGATTTAATTGAAACATCGAAAGGACAATGGCAGGTCCCCATACATAATTTTATTTGAAGTGAAATGACAGCGTTTAAATATCAAAAATGCCTATAACCCTTGAGAATTTATTCTTCAACATACTCATAAAAAAAATCTAGCTAAAGAAGTCTAGGAAAAAAGATATTGGATTTTGAATGTTTCGAGGTTAAGTACTAAAATATTGTCAATGTTTTGTTTGAAACTAGATGGCGTTGTGTATCATATATTCCAAAATATTATTCATCATTATTATTACTCATAAGCAACCCTATTTTGCTGTAGAAAGTGTTAGCCGACTCTCTAAAAGGGTGAAGGAAGGAAGGGTATTTGCTTGGCATGTATTGGTAAAAAATAGAAAAAAATCTTCGCTTACCAAGCAGGTGTAATACTAGCTATAAATAAATAAATTATTAATAATAATTTGAATAAATGTACTTCAATACACATTTACACAAGGCGGAAGCATTTATTTATTTAGTTATTCGACAGCCAGTAGTTGTGACATTATTTACTAAAATCTAAAGCATGCATCCATTATATTAAGATTAATGCACAACATTTTAAGGCATCACATAATGCATAATGCAGTAACACAATATGAAATTAAAGTTAAAATAAACATATACGAGAGTTTAATACTAAAAAAAAAAAACAACCAAACAAACTACAATTGCCTTGTGAGAAATGGTATGTAAGTCATGCGTGTAAGTGTCAAACGACAAGACTAGTAAGGGCGACGACGACGTATCGACATTTTAAAAATATCGATGTATGTCTATTTATGTGCCGTTATCAACCTACAATGTCTTTTCTCACCACACTAAGCAGTATATTGTTTTAGTATTTTTCTGTAGGAAAACAACGTAACTATATTCTATTTATTTTGGTGTAGCAAAAATATTTTAAAAAGAATCATAAATATTCTAAATTATTTCTAATTAGGTTGATTTAGTCACTACGGTACTAGTTACGGTGGCGTACGAGTGAACCCGTAGGCAGAAGCAAATTCATAATCATAATAAGTGAACCTTCGATAGATATTTAAGCCTTTGTTATAACAATCGATTATCGATAAAACGTTCCATAATATAATAATGTCATCACACATCCCTAGTCAGTTCGTGATGGCGATTCTGACATTACGTACTTAGGTCAAATAAATTTTTTAAAAATATCCAATCTCTTATAAGACTAATAATAAATAATAATAAATAATGGCAGTATAATGATAAATCATAGAAAAAATATTTAGTAAGTTTACTGTTAGTCAATTTTTTAAACGCTTCAGTTTTAGGTAAATATGTTTCTGCCATTGTTCTTTGTCAATGCGTGGTGCATTGACAAAGAACAATGGCAGAATCCTCTGTGGCGAAATTGTGAAATAGCTTCGTTGTATTAGTATAATTTAGTAAATACTAAAAGTAGATATTATTTCTTACATCAAAGTTTAAAAGTTGATTTGTTTATTGATTTATGAGAAGGATCGATTGTATTAACGCTGGCCGTTAATACAATCGATTTGTTTGGTAAATTAATATAGTAGTAGTAGTTCGTAAATAAATTTGCAATCTCCAGGTTTATTAAAAAAATAATATTTTATTTAGTTTAGCTGCATTATAATAACTAAGAACTCCCGAAAGCGGGGTAAGAAGGCTGCCCAAAAAGCACATCGCAATTGCCATCATTGGCAGAGGCCACCAAGTAGAAACCACGGAAACTGCAGACCCCTTAAACCGCGGTTGTGGTGGTTACTTTGTCACTGGAGGCGGCTGACGGCGGGCTGTCCTATGCGGCCGCGTTTAGAAAGACCCGGGATGGTCTCGGTCATGAGTCCGGGACGGTGAGTGTCAGGATGCACCTCTCCCAGACGGGAGGTCGAGTCCTCGAGTTCACCGGGTCTGAAGGCGCAAAGTAATGGTGATAGGCTGTTTTTCAACCCTTTTAGAAGGTCATGATAAATTTCTTTAAAGGTGTTCATCATAACAAATTTTAAGAACTACCATGTGTATTTGTATTTGTAAATGAATCTAGAGACAACAAAATACTGCAAGGCCCTCAGAACATCAGTGCACAGCCAAATTTTATAAATAAAACTTGACGTAAGATTGGGCCATTGACTCGGTGACGTATTTAGCATCGTTAGATCACTGGGTTTTAAGAGTAGAGTATTTTTATATCTTAATGTATAAGAAAAAACTGGTTAGTTACACCATTTATAACTCAACATCGGCTTGACCGATTTTTTTCATGCTTCATTTTTTGGAATTTGTTTCCACCCCGAGGCCCGAATAGCAAAATAACTTATTAAAAATTCACGAAACAAAAATTATGATGCAAATCAATTTTCTCATGCATGGTATATGATGCACCTACTTCCTGTTCTCTCTCCATCACCCACAGGTTGACTGGTAGAGAATGAGGGCATTAAGTCCGCCAATGCACCAAAAGTGCAAGATGTATAAATAAATAAATATGAAACCGCATGAAGAGCACAGTTGTGCCTAAAACGCAGGTGAAACGGCGCGGCGGGGAACTTCTAGTTTTATAATATTTCTTAGCTTTACTGTTTCATGACAGCCCACAACATATGCTACTGGCCCTGGTCAGAGTCTGATTATTGACTGTACCTTAGTCAAAATGTTATTCTTACACACCCAAGTAATCGAAGTTATTAAATTTTATATCCATAATGCCATCCATCTGTCAGTCCAGACAGAAACAGTTTTTGACCACCAGTGACAGGTCTTTGAACTCCAGTAACCTGCTTATTTATTATACAACTAGCTACTATATTTATATTACTAGCTACACTCTCCTTCTGTGCAAGCAATATTCCTTACTTTCAATGCCCTTCCCTTAATGTTAACTTTAGTGCTTCCAATTTTTTAATCTAAAAAAGGAGCATATAATTTTTATTATTGTTGTCAAAATTTGGGTGTGTAGAAGTTCTCTTTCTTCCCTTTTGGAGAGAAAGGGGTGAGCATAAATATAAAACATCCTCAAAACATTACACCAATAGGATATATTTCAAATTTTAATTTTCATTGTATATGTTATGTCTAAAAATTTTGTGTGGGTTATCAGTTGTGTCTGAGCTACTTTATAATGTTTTTACAACTTTCATTTATATAGTAAAATATTCCTGTTCGTCATAGCAGCCGATGTCAGTGCTAATGCCAGGCCCACACTAAGTAGGTAAATGTAAATTAGTGGTGGCTGCTGTCACCGTGCGTCATCGTACTGATAACGATAATGGTTGATAAGGCCGCTGTGAAGGATGATCTATAACCTGTTTTTGAAAATAATCCATGTATATTACAGAGAATCAGTGTATTTTACCAATTGATAGACAAAGTAGAATTACTCACAATGACTATTGGGAAGAGTAAAAAAATCCTTATTCTACTAATAATATCATCCACAACCTTTAGTATTTCACCACTGGACATTTTACCTCATGCCAGGACAGCCTTTCCTTAGAAAGGAGGTTTTTGTCTACTATACTACGCTGGCCAGGCTTTGTAATGCATAGTAAGCTCCCTTATTCGGCTCTTACGACACCTAGGGGATAAACAGGGGTGGTGAGACTCCATATTCTGAATCCGTCACAACACGGAAAGATATAAGGAATATTCAGACAATAGAGTGGTTGAACACGAATATAACTCATTTTCTTCATTCTTTGCATTCCTTTTCACCTACCCTATATACCAATATTATGATACCAATGAAAATTTAATTTGTAAACAAATACCAAAGTTCAAAACATGATTAGTTAATTAATCGTGAGTTTTATCGTGTAATGTGGGGATCGAACCCAGAACAAAGTAGGAAGCGGCGTGGCGACCGCTTCAACCACTACGCCATCCGCGCTGTCTTAGTCTCAGGCCCGGTATTCACCAAAGCAGAAAGGAGACGAGACGAGAGGAGATGGGCTGCGAAGCTGACAGGTTATTTCCACCAAAGCGGAGAGGAGATGCGTAGCGGAGAGGAGAAGTTAGGTGTGTGTAGCAGAGATATAAGCTGTGAAAGCTCGAAAGCAGTTAAGTACTGTACTGTACCATCAAGTCCAGTCAGTCAAGTCACTGTAGCTACGAAAGGACGACGTCATGTCGTTACGATAATTATATCTTAATTTGCTTGAGGAAGAGTGATTACAGGTTGAAAGAATATGATTAATTCTTAAATATATAAATTATTGACGGCAACATAGATTCTGGATAAGAAACCATATAAAATGTCATTATCATGGCGAATATGCCACACTATTTCAAGAATTTTCAGGGAGAAGGCAGCGGGGAACGGGGCGCGCGAGCGTGGTCACCCGCCCAGCCGCTAACTACACACATCTCTGCTCTGCCACGTCACTAGCTCGCTCGCGGCACAAAATTCAAAAGAAAAATAAGACATCTCTTCATCTCTTAATGAACGCACCGTGCGTTTTTGGTTTAAACGCTTTCATGATGGAAACTTCGACTTGAAGAACGAACCACGTGGAAGACCGCCCACACAGCGAATAACACTGAAATGAAGGAGTTGGTGGAAGCCGATCCGAGTCATCTACCCAGGAATTAGCGGCATGGTTTGACGTTACCCTACCCACAATATTGACTTAT